TCAGATGGTTTTAGAGATGGTTTCTGCAGTGTATCACTCGAATCAACGGTCAAAGATAAGGTGCTCTCTTCGTTATCGCTCTCTTCGATAATGGAATACATATAGCCAGCTACAGTTGTCGGAGTCGGAGTCGGAGTTGGATGCGCTGGCTCAGGTGACTCTTGGACCTGTGGAGAGCTCATGTTTGCCTCCAGCTCTACCAAATGTCGTGGCTCTGGTGTTTTTCTCACCATTGTTACTTTTTCATTCTAAAACACAGAAATTATGTATTCATTTCTCGAATATATAAAAATATCTACTTACACAAGGACTCATTGGAGTCATGTTCCTTTCGCTTGGCTCATCCTGCGAATTGTTACTGCTTGAGACGCTACTCCGACTTCTTCTAGTGGGAGACACCGGCAGAGCTCTTTGAAGTCGTTCGCTCGACCGACGCAGCTCCGAGCAAGCTTGTCCATTGTTGTATGAGCTGGACCTGACATTTTCTGATACCTTTGATGTTTGAGATGTGTCTTCGTTGTCTTCACGGCTATCTAAATTTAGGTCTAGGGAATGAAGCAATGTCCTAATAGCGCATTTCAGTTTTTGTTCATGGTATTGAGCGTCAGCTAAGCGTATTTCTCGTTCTTCCAGTAACTGCCTTTTCAGTAAAACTTCGGTTTTCAGCATCTCGGCAATAGTTATACGCTGCCTCTGGACTTGATCCATCAATTCAGCATTTATTATTTTGTACTGCTCCATTTTATCCACATTTCTTTTTATATATCACAACACAACGAAGCTAGTTTTGAGTTTGGCGTCGATGCTTGAAATAATATCGATTATTACACAAATAAAATGCTGTATCGATAATTTATCTAAATAGTCCGAAAAGCAAACATCGATACTATAGTGACACATTTGGTATTTAGTTATCGAAATTGCTATTGCCATTCTCCATAACGCTTTTGTTTTTTAGTTTTTCTGTAGTCATCGAAACATTTAAAGTTGCTGAAATGGAACAACAATATAAAGTGCTAAACGCTGAATTAATGGATCAAGTGCAACTTCTGCGAATAACTAACGCTGAAATGTTGAAAACAGAAATTGTACTTAAAAGGCAACTTATGGAAGAACGTGAATTACGCTTAGCTGACGCTCAATACAATGAACAGAAGCTGAAATGCGCTATCAGAACTTTACTCCATTCCTTGGACATCAATTTATGTAGTCATGTAGAATGCCCCCTTACATCGCAATCATCAAATGCATCAGAAAATGTCAGGTCCAGCTCATACAGCAATGGACAAGTCTGCTCTGAGCTTCGTCGTTCAAGTGGAATACTTCAAGGATCTCTGCCTGTATCTCCCATCAGAAGGAGACGGAGGAGCGTCTCAAGCTGCCAGACTTCGCAAGGTGACTCAAGCGAAACGAGCACGACTACAATGAGTCCCTGCGTAAGTAGATATTTATATGTATTTTATAAATTAATACATTTGTTTTTGCCTCAGAATGAAGAGATACCATCCAAAAGGAAAACACCAGAGCCACGACATTTGGTGGAGCTGAACGTAAACATGAGCTCTCCAGAGGTGGAAGAACAAGAATCAGCTGATCAGTTATCATCATCTGTTCCTCAAATATACTCTATTAGCGAAGAAAGCGATAGTGAAGACAATACTTGGGCTTCTTCCATGGAATCCAATGAGACACTGCAGACATCGTCAGCCTTTGGCAGTACCATAGGCATATCTCCATTGCCTCCGAGCAATGTAACCAATAACCAGAAAAGAGCTTTGCTCGCTCCGAGAGTAGAAATCACAGAAGGGTGCAGCCCATCGCAAAACACTGAAAATAAGACTGAAAAATACAATTTGCGACATCAAAGAATTACAAAACTGATTCTAGATCTTGAGCCAGATGCTGGCATTCAGGAGCCACGGATAGAGAATATGAGATATGCCGTTCAAGCAAGGTCACCGATACAGATGACATTACCACGCACGTCCTCAAATGCGGATGCACTTACGCCGCGACGCGCCCTGAGTGACATGACTAATCGACCCGTAGGCCACAGTACTCCTCATAAGCAGAAGCAAATTTTCAATAGTTCTGTGCTTAGTCAGACAGGCGAATCTAGTATGGAAGACTCCACGTTTGGTCGTCCTAGGCGTACTTGTCGGCCAAGCTCACTTAAGGAACCTGACTGTCGTTCCAAACTTCGAAACGAAAACAAAAACAAATGAAAATATTTTGCTTATAGCTAAGTTATTTATTGAAAAACTATATGTTCCTGTTATGATTTTAATTGAGCCTTTACACTCGAAACAATATTTGTTAAACTAGTTTATATCCATTCATAGAATATTTATTTGAAAGTTTGTACTTCAAGCGATTTCCTTAAGTTAAAGCAACTAATTTAATTGTCTATCTGAAAGTTTGCGTTGTACGTTAAAACTCTATTAAGCAAAAATGATTTGTGATTCCATGTGTTCAAATTTAGAAAAACCCCAAAATATGTTAAGTTATGAACTAAATATAATTTTTATTTATGATATATTATTTATTTAAATTTGTGTTAACATTGATTCGCTCTGTTAGTTTGAATATACAGTTTATCAACACTTATTTAAAATTCATGTTAACGTTAAAAATCGCCCGCAGTCTATCGACATGTATCGTGCAACCGCCACAGTCATAA